GAAAACCAAACTCACTGCCATCGAGTCAGTGTTGACCACAGTGACCTCCTGTGGGTTACCCAGAGTTTGGGAGGAGAAAACCCAGACTTTCTCCCGAGGAGCTGGGTGGTTTCCAACTGCCGACCACAGTGCCCTGAGTAACCGCTACACCGGCAGTGCAGTAGTGCTCCTTCTGGGGAGCCTCCTCCATGGCGAATGGCAGCAAACTCCCTTGTCACCAACTTACCTACAATGCCTAAATGTAGCTCCTGTCATTGAAACAGGACCTCGGTCCATTTCTTTCTTTAAAAAACCAAAACATTGTTTGTGAGTTGGACCTAGGTTAACCAGGCACATCAATTTTCATTGAGCATTTCCCAACTTTGTTTTATGCCATTGATGTTAATCCCTACAATGTAATGTCACAGATCCTGCTTCCTCTCCCTGGGTTTCTGGTATTCCATTCTGTTTCCTTTCCAAACCCTTCTGAGCTTTGTCCTGGTTTCAAATGGCTGATTGCTCTAAGAAGTGTGTACCTCCGTATGTTAATGTCCCCTACATCCCTTCTGCCATTGAATTGACTTATAATGACCCTATGTAGGGTTTCTGAGGCTGTAAATCTTTACAGGGCAGACAGCCTCAACTTTCTCCCCTGGGCTGGGGTTGGAGTAGGTAATGGTGGCTGGTGGGTCTGAACTGCCCACCTTGTGCTTTCCTGATAGCGCCACTCGGGAGCTTTGTTCCCTTTGTGGACCTGTCTAGTGTTTGGCCGGAAACTGAGCCTGGATGAGTTCCTTTCTAGAGCTGAAGGACGACGACTAACGGCCATTGTCGCAAGATTCTGCCACTCTCCATCTGACCAGTAAGCCTGGTCTGTTTTAGGATTTGGGGTTTGGCCTGCCATTTTTCTCCTACTCTAATGTGGCCCCTCACATCCTGGTCGGCTCTCAGTCTAGTCTTGGGTTGTGGTGACTGATGCCTGGCGTCTTTGATGTTCTTTCCTTTCCTTCCACCTGATGGGGAGAGACCAGTGGATGCCCCTCGCCCCTCATGAGTTTCCGTTCACAACTCCACCAAAGGAAAATGTAGGACATTGTCTTTGTGCACTGTGGCATGCTGATTGATCTTGGTGTTCCCGAAATCATGGTCCTCAGTCCCCAGGCTCAGTGTTTTGTTAATTGCTTGTGAGGACTTGTAGGGGCCAGAGAGTAGTGGACCACTCGGTGAAAAGGCTTTCCTTATTATTAATAACTTAAGTTGAAGTTATATCTGATAGTTTTAGGTAGAGATCAACACCTTACAATAAAAATGTGTCTTTTTAAGGATCACTGTGACAGCTTCCTGCATTAAAGGCATGTTAACATTTTTTTTGTTTGTTTCAGCTCATATGTTAGATTTGATATAATTCGAAGGATCCTGACCAAGGTGTTTGGATGCAACATCGTCATGGTGATGGGAATCACAGATGTGGATGATAAAATAATCCAAAGAGCCAATGAGGTAAATGTGGAAGGTTTGCCTTGCGTGCGACCTTGATTGATCACTGTTCTGATCTTTATGTGGCGGTTGTTCCAGTTTTGCATTTTACAAGTAGCTGCCTTATTTTACTATTCATACATGACTCCGTGAGTCGGGTGTTATAAATGGAACAGTGACAGGTTACCAGCATAATCTTTGTTGTTCCTCTCAAGGGAATAGAGCTCTGCTTAACTTTCACCACTGGAAGATTTTAATAAGTTGCTTCATCTGTGGTGGTATCCTGCATCGAATCTTTGAACCCCCGCCCCCCTTCTCAGCCTTCAAGGTGTCTTAGAGCTTAAATTCTGAACACCAGGTCTACAAAAGGTTAGGGGTAACAGTGAAAGCCCCAAATCCCACTTTTTACCCCCTAAATCCATGTTGGGGCCTTTGAATTCTTCCTGAGCATTAACCAGGAATGTAAACAATCTTGCCCTCAGGCAGAGTGCATTAGAAAGTGGATTACCACCAATCCCCTAACCAGCCCTGGGAGTGGCAGCTTCCTTTCAAGGGTTTGACAAGGTGTGTCCTGTATGGAGATTGGGGTCCTAGGATCCCTTAGTCTTGAGTCATGCCCTGACTGCTTTGGTTGGAGGGCCCTGGACCAATTTTCAAGCTCTTTTGTCTATCCCATTCCTGTGTCTGTAACCCACCCGCAACTGTGCTGTCTTGATCTGTTGCCATCTTGAATCTGTGACAGTTTCCTTTGCCCTCTCATTTCTCATTGAAGTCTTAGGTTCTCTGTAAACCCTGGAATACCATGATGACTTCCTTCTAAAGGTCTTCCTTGTCCAGAGCATTTGGCTTTGCTTGTCTTTTCTTTGTCCTCTTATGCCCTCTCTGCAGACATAATACATGTTCTTAAATTATAGTTGAGATTTGGGATCTCTTCTGTCCTTTAAAACTTGGTCCATCTTTAGAGTGGGAAGCAAGTCTACTAATACTGGGCATTGGATATATTGATAATTCTCTTACCTGTACAGAGTGAGTCCTGGTGGCAATAGTGGGTTGATCGGTAGGCTACTTAATGCCATTCAAATCTACTAGCTACTTCTTAGGAGGAAGAGTAGTCTATCTGCTCCAGTAAAGATTCACAGCTTGAGAAACCTTCTCCCTCACTGCCACTGAGTTGATTCTGATTCTTAGTGACCCTCTAGGACAGGGTAGAACTGTGGTTTTCTGAGGCTGTTACTCAGTACAGGAGGACAAAGCTTCATCTTATTCCCAGGGAGCAGCTGGTGGGTTTGAACTGCTGTACTGCACCACCAAGGCTTTTTCCAAAACCCTCGGGAGCATTTGTATTCTGCTGTATCCCGTAGGGTCAGTGTGAGTCAGAATCAACTAGATTGCAGTGGTGGGTTTTTTGTTAGATGTGTTTTGCTTTTTCATCCTTTCAGCCACCAAGATGAATAATTTACTCTCTCATCAAGCATACTAACTAAACCACCAGCAGCTCCGAGGGAGCAAGACCGGCTTTCTACTCCTGTAAAGTCTCAGAAACCCACAGGGGTCGCTGTGAGTTAGCATGGACTCAATGGCAGAGAGTGAGTGAGTGAGCAGCTTACTGGGCATTGGATATGTTCGTATTTCTCCTATTGATTGATACCTTTTGTTTCTGTGTGTCTCGATAGCTTAAAAAGCAATGTGGTCTCTATTCCCATTTGCATCTCAGAACAATCTTAAATGTCAGGCAGAAGAGCAGCGCTGTGGCTTCTCAGGAGAAAGACCAGGCTTTGTGCTCCTATGAAACGTGACAGCCTCTGAAACCCGCGGGGCAGTTCACGCTGCCCTACAGGGTCCCCTTGAGTCAGAATGGACTCGATGGCAGTGAGTTTGCCTTGGTTTTGGTTTTGACAAGTGGTTCAGGTTTCTTTTCTAATTTTTGGAGCACTTTCTGACATACAGGGAAATTGCAATACCAGAACAAAGAACTCTCATAGCCCTGTATCAGTAGTTCCCTCTTCGTATTTTGCACGTCTGTGAGAGCTGACTCACAGGGCCCCTGAAAAACAAATCCTTTTACTAGACTTTCCCCTTCGTGTGTCTGTCGTCATTTTTCTGACCTGTCTTTGGTGTTATGCATTAGTCGAACCCCTGTATCGGTGACTATTACCCTGTGTAGCAATTGTTTTGCTATGTAATGAGGCTCTACCAGAGAAGGGGGTGGCCCTTCATGTAATCAGTTTCCCCACACCAAAACCAAAGACTCATAGCCACCCTATGCGCACAGTTGTACCAGGACTTTATATTTTTACAGGAGCAGGAAGCTTCAGCCTCTTCTCGCTGAGCAACCAGTAGGTTCGAACCACTGACCTTGGGGTTGGCAGCTCATAAAAAGAGAAGAGTAGACACAGAGAAGAGGGGCCCTGGTGGCATAGTTGTTACAGATCGGGCTGCTCACCCCAAGGTCTGGAATTAAAAACTATGAGGTTGGGCTCTGGAGCTGTTGCCCATGGGGCAACTAGCAAGCTATGAACCTGTGTGATTTGATGGGGTCTAGAGATAAACCCAGTACACACACCCCCACAACGGCAAAGAGGAGTTAGGCTGAAAGTTTATTAAAGCATAGAGTCACGAAGCAGGCCCCTCTCCCTAGTGGAGAAGCACCCCTAAGCAAAGGAGATACTTCTACTTTTAAAGGGCACCTTCAAAGAGGATGGGGTGGCCACTCTGCGGATGGTCAAGCAACTTTCTTTCTTTTTTTTTAAAATCATTTTATTGGGGGCTCATACAACTCTTATCACAATCCGTACAGCCATCCAGTGTATAAAGCACATTTGTACAGTCATTGCCCTCATCATTCTCAAAACATTTGCTCTCCACTTTAGCCCCTGGCATCAGCTCCTCATTTTTCCCCGTCCCTCCCTGCTCCACACTCCCTCATGAACCCTTGGTAATTTATAAATTATTATTTTGTCATATCTTACACTGTCTGACATCTCCCTTCACCCACTTTTCTATTGTCCTTCCCCCAGGGAGGAGGTTATACGTAGATCCTTATAATAGGTCCCCCCTCTCTACCCCACCCTCCCTCCACCTCTCAGTATTGTCACCCTCACCACTGGTCCTGTAGGGATCATTTGTCCTGAATTCCCTGTGTTTCCAATTCCTGTCTGTACCAATGTACATCCTCTGGTTTAGCCAGATTTGTAAGGTATCATGGGATCATGATAGTGGGAGGAAGCATTTAGGAACTAAAGGAAAGTTATATGTTTCATCATTGTTA